ACTCTCCCTGTTGTTGTGGGGAATGGCAACCACTAGGAACACTGCCCTAGAACAAAACGGCTAGTTTTTCCTGAGGCAAGCAGGGTGAGAATATCAGTCCTGTTACACCTGATTATATTTACAAACTATAAACAGACCAGAAGCCCCTGGGTGCTACAATAATAAAACTTCAAGACACAAGTTTAAAAAGAAAATCCCCAGCAGTGATAATAAAATTGACTTTTAATGAAGATGTTTTATGCTTTGGCCACTTATTTCACTGCTTTCATTTTCTTGGGGGGGTCTGGAAAACACTTCAAGCAGACCTGTTTATCTAACCGCTGCCTGCACCAGAACATTTCCTGAAATACTGCTGCCCCACTTTTCAATTTAATAAATTCCTGCAGCCCACATGGCCAAAACTAATCTTGGACGTTTTGTGAATCCTAGATTTATTTTAATGAAATGCTCAGTTCTGCAAATGTAATGGTTTTCACTGTTTGGTTTACTTATAATCTCTATTTCATGGTTATTCTCTATTCAGACAGTTCAATCATCATAAAATAAGTGCGAATATATCTGAATACTGTTTTTTTGCGTTCCTTACAGCGAAGGCTTTTCACTGAACTCCATTCGGTGGAGTGCAAGAAATTTCCCTCAGTTCAATACTGCCCTCTGCTGGGTAAACAGGAACTATATTCCCTTTTTTCTTTTTCAAAACCAATGGCTTCAGTGAAAGAATGCGCGACTTACTGTACATGTAGATTTACCTATGTTTTTAATTAATCATTGTTCATTGACATAGAAACTGCATAGAAATAGAGACAAAAAAATTGATAACAGTGTGTACTCGAGAGGACAACTGACTGACCTGTATGTTGATAACATTTGTGATTCTTGCAAACGAGAGTGTCTAATGATCGCTTTGTATTACGGCCCAGTGACTGACAACAAGTGCTATACCTGTGATGTGTCCTGCAAGACGTGCTTTGGGCCTCAGTCTCTGGACTGCTCTTCATGTTTTACAGGTCTGTGGTTATGTTTCCTAAACTACTGAATCGGTAATGCCATTTGTAGTCCATGCGCACATGAGGTTTGTATCAGTACCGCCATCCATTCATGACCACACACCTGCTCATTCTTGGTGGTGGCCACAGTGGGCCAAAGCCTCACCAGAAGGTATAGGGAGCGAGGCGAGACATCTTCCTGCACAGGACACCGGCCTCGACACAGGGCGCACACACGCAAGGCTTTAGTCCCAGAGAACGCATGAGAAATGATCTCTGGTTACCTTCACTGTCGAAAATAACAGACCCTGCTTGCACCACCCCAGCTTCACCCATTCCTTCCTCCGCGTCCTGCACGTGCTCTGTGTTTGCAGGTTGGCTCCTGGACCAGGAGGGCTCCTGTGTGGAACACTGCCCCTCGGGCTACTTCGCCCATCCCGAGACCCAGCTGTGTGAAGAGTGCTCCCCCACCTGTGAGAGGTGTGAGGAGACCAGGGACAAGTGTGTCAGCTGCAAGAAGGGCAAATACAGGCTACTCCTTCACGAAGGGACGTGCTGGTCAAATTGCCCAGAGTAAGTTCATTTTTTTGGAAGAGTAGGGGGCACTCACCATGTGATCTGTGTGGGTCCTAACGCACCAGTATAG